ATATTAAATATATAAATAATAAAAATTAAAAATCAAAATCATATAAAACGAAGCCTTAGTTTTGTTCAATTGTTTTTATTTTTATTTACTATAATAAAATTAATTAAAAATTTTGAACATAAATAAAATTAACCAAAATTTGATAGGGTAAGATCCATAAAAAAATTTTATACTCATTGGGATTAACTTAAAGCAGTGTTTGGTACGCGGTTTTTTCGAAAAAATAATTCAAGGTATTCGCGAAAGAAAGAAAGGCACAAACTTTGTTTAGAAAAAATTTTTCTGCACTCAAATTTAAATGCAATATAATTAATTATAAAAAGGATATAACAAATTATATCTAATATAATTACTTATTTTTTCTTTACAATCCATTATATTACTCATTAAGAGTTTTCAAAGAAAAATTTCTTGAATAAGTGGTAATATAATTATTTATCTTCCTTTCATAACCATCTATATTATATCTGAACACTTGAGGTTTTGAGTCAATGATATCAAATCATGTTTTAAGTACATCATTCTTTCTCCGAACAATGGTTGGAATTCAGTCTTTTGTAAAATTATTTTAAAAAAAAAACTATATTATATCTGGATTTATATGTCAAAATTTTAATTTTTTTTAAGCTAAGGAGAGTTATTTTTTATCTGACTTCTTCAATCTTTTCTTTAAAAATCGCATATGAAATAAGCCCTAAGTAATTAATGAATTATTTGTACTATTTTTAAAATATTGATTTAAATTCCTCTAACACAATTTAAATATAAATAATTTTCATGAATCACATTTTTTACTTTTAAAATTGAAGTTTCATTGATATTTCTAAATAGAGTAATTTATAAGTATTCATAAGATTAATTAAGTTACATACATATCAAAATATTATATATATAAAAATTTAATTTTTTTAAATATATTAAATTAACGTGAGAGTTATTTCTTAAATTGTTCAAAAACAGTATAGTTTTGAGCTTGGCAAAAATTAAGCTAAGATTTTTTTTATTTAGTAGTTAAGGTGTTATTTTTTAATAAATAACAATTAAAGTGTTTTTAGATCAACTTATATATATATATTTAAAAAAATTAGTATTTATTTACTCTGATAAAAATAAATCATTCACATTTTAAGATATCAAATTTTGATTAATAAAAATGGAAACAAATGCCTTCACCAGGTACACCAACTCCTATGGATGACCCAGATACTTTATTGCAATAAGTTTATAAATGATAAAAAATTTAGAAGAAAGGCATTTTTTTATCCAACACCCAAAATCATGGCTAGAAAAAGAAAACAATGAAGATAAAATCCCATAAAATCCAAAAGGTTAAAACTCTTTTTGGTCTCTTTATCTTATAAAAAAAAAATTTAACCTCTTTATTTAAAAAAATTATTTTTTAGTTCTTAAAATTTATTATTTATCCTTTTTTTTATTTTTTCTATTATTTTTTTCATATATGACATATTAAATAAAAAAAATTAAAGTAAAAGAATTAAAAAAAGATTTTTTTAAAAGCTTTTTAAATCTTTTTTTAATTTTTTTACTTTAAAATTTTTATTATTTAACATATTATATGTATAAAAAAATAAAATAATTGAAAAAAACCTAAATAATAAAATTTTAAAAAAATGAAAAAAGCTTTTTTTTTTTTTGAATAATTGTCGTGGGTTGAATTGAATCATTACTCCAAAAAAAAATAAATATTTTACGAGTCACAGATGCTACTCAATCTTATTCGTCAGGTTCATAAAACAAGCTTTCTTAAACAAACAGATAAAAAATTTTTTTTATTAAATTGAAAGAATCAAAATGAAAGGTTTAACCAGTTAAAAAAATTTTTAACGATAAAACTGAAAAAGATAGTAATCAAGATCAAGCTGTTAAAAAACCGTGGGCCCACCCCAACTTCTCGTTGTTACCTTCCACAGAGTACAGTACTGTTTTAATGGGAAATAATTTCGGGATAATATTTTTGTTTTTTTTTTTTAATTTAATCTTATCATCTAAAAAATTAATTTTTTTAGTTCACGAGATAATCGGGACATTGAATATATGTAAAAATTGTATAAAAAATAATATAAAAAAATTATACTTACAACAACTCCTGTTTTAATTTTATTATTATCCTCTTGCTCAACCTGCGCCTTCCCGCACAATATCGTTCCCCCTGTTCACAGCGTTACTTGATAAGGAGAGGGCATAGCTGCCGGAGGAGCGAAAATTAGACCGGACGCAACGGTGGCCACCGTAGGAGAGCGTAACGTTCGCTTCTCTTCTCCAATCTCAGTCTCCAGATCTCTCTCTCCTCACTTCTTACGGCTTCACCTCAGCTGCTTCCAAACAAGCTAGCCCCCGTTGAACCGTGATCTTGCTTCACTGCAGCCATGATTTCGTCCAGCAGGATCAAATCGGTCGATTTTTACAGGTCGGATCTTCATCTCCGCGATTTCTTTTCTTCATTTGTCTCTTTTGGATTCGATTCGAATTTATTTCTCGATCTCATGTCTACTTGTGTATACATTTTTCGGAGTTGGAGGACGATACTTTAATCCGAATGTGTTGTGTTTTGTTCGGTAACGCATTTTAGTGTATGATTTAGATCTGAGGTTTGAATTTGGTTTTGCTGAATACTGAGCATTTGATGTGAGAAGTAAATCACTGTATGTTGCGTTTGGTTTCGCAATATGCTTGTTTATTTGTTTTCACATAATGTGCATACTTTTTTGAATCGATGAATAATTAGTTCAATAATTTTATAATTTCCGTTCAATTTTCGGTGCAATTTTGATGGTAGTTTGGTGAACAAGATAAAATGTGATGAAAGTTATGCTGTTGATAGAGTCACTAAGATTGATGTTCATAATTCCACATTTCTCACCTGTTATTCATGTTAACAGGAAAATCCCGAGGGATTTGACAGAGGCCTCACTGTCTGGTGCGGGATTATCGATAATAGCAGCCCTTTCTATGATGTTTTTATTTGGAATGGTAGGGAGTGAGTTGTTTTAGTTCCACATTTCTTTTAGCTTTTATGTTAATGAAGCTTTATTTTAGCCCTTTCTTCTGTCAGTTGACATTACTCTTTTATTTTGTTCTCTAATAATACTTGTGGAATTCAGAGTAGGTTGTAATCTCACCTTCTATCAGTTTTCTGTCACTTTCTACTCACCTTCCTTGATGGTTCTTTGGAGGAGTTGATATAAACTGCAATGTTCATTTTGCAGGAGTTGAGTAATTATTTAACAGTCAGCACTTCTACTTCTGTTATTGTTGACAAGAGTTCCGATGGGGATTTTTTACGTATTGATTTTAACATCAGGTATTTTTTTTTGGCATAAACATTATTAGAGTTTTTTAGTGGTTTCATGTCTTAGAACACAATGAGTTTGATAACTGATTCCAAGACTATATATAGTTAGGTTATGAGTGTCATTTCTGTTTGATGTGAGTGGCTTAAAACGTTGTCTGTTTCATTCATATAATATATAACTGTATACTGAGGAATGCGTTATAGATAGAGTGGCTTAAAACCTTGTAATGACCAGATGGTTATTTGTGATTCTTGTACTTTGACATTTGCCCTATGCAAGCTTAACGTAAAATGGACAGCATCTTTCACTAAGGACCAAACTATGTTCCAAAATTGCAATGTACTTGACTGACAGCAGGGAAATGAGACCACACCTGTGTTTCGGTGCTCTTGGTTCCTCCATTCTTCATTTGAAACTTGGTGCTTTGGGGGGTCTTTTAATATAGATAATTTTGAAAAATTGATTCTTCTTGTTGCTATACATACTTCAACTTCTAATTAATTAGACATTACTATGTATTTGACCTTTAGTTGTTGGTCTGCGCTGTGCTTTTTCTTGTATGTTTCATATGATATGATGATAAACGGTTTTCCAATAACTGTTGTGATGTTTATCCATGCGTCTTCTTTTTTTGAGGCTTCTTTCTGCTATACTTATGCATGTTTTTTGAGCCAATTCGCCTTTTCTTCATACTTAATTAATTATGTTCACTGAGTAATTCAATTGTACTATAGTTTTCCAGCGCTCTCATGTGAATTTGCATCGGTGGACGTTAGTGACATCTTGGGGACTGTAAGTTTCTATCATCTTATTACTTTGAGTGGTTTCAACAAAAAGGAAAGCTCGTTCTTCTAGTTCAGAATTAAATTTTAGAACACAGTTGATGATTCGATTTGGTAATTTTCATTTCGAGCTTTAACAATGGTTCTTCATATTGAATGGCTTACATAAGTTGTATGTGGAAAGACTTTTAATCGGTTGTTTAGGTTAATTTATCTACAGGATAAATATCTTAGTGTTAGTTGGTAATTGGTGAATTTTTGGAAATATTTTTCAACTATTGACTAGCTTATGTTGTTAATTTAATATTTTTAAAATGTCATAGTAATTTTTTGAATTTAATGTAGATAGAGGTCAATCTATAGGTTTTTATCGAACAGCCTTGCCTAATATGATAGGTTTTCTCTTTCAGAACAGGTTGAATATAACAAAAACAATCCGTAAGTTTTCAATAGATCCAGATTTAAATCCAACTGGTGCAGAGTTTCACTCAGATCTTAGTTCTAATATCATTAAGCACGGAGATGATTTGGATGAAGAGTCTGTTGATGGTTCTATACCATTACATGGTAGTAACTTCGACAAATTATCACATCAGTAAGTTGATGTTCTTACTTGCAAACCTTTTGCTTTCTCTGTCTTTCATCATGGGAGTTTTGTAAATACAAGCATTGTGGAGATACCATTACTTAACTTTATCTTGGACATTTCTTTTGCAGGTATGCAATTTTAGTGGTTAATTTTTTTGCTCCTTGGTGCTACTGGAGTAATCGCTTGGTAATTCTATCATTTCAGTTTCTTGACTTCTGTTTATCATCAGTTGACTTGCAAAACAGATGACTGAGTGCAAGATGGCGTAATCTGAAAGCATGTATTCTAAGTGAATGAAAATGTTTTTTTGGTTTAATATTGTAAAAATGTTGGATCTGGTCGTAAAGCTTAGCTATGTCATTGAGAACTCGTCTCACTATATTTTTCTTTGGGTTTCAGAAACCTTCGTGGGAGAAAGCAGCAAAAATAATAAGGGAAAGGTTTGACCACATTCAGTTTCATTTCTTTTGTTTAATGGATTTGTAAATATATCTTATATAGGGAAAAGAAATTAACACTACTGTCTTGATTTAATGGCTTGCCATATGGAATCTATTATGAGTGATTGTTTTTCACAGATATGATCCAGAAGCCGATGGGCGTATTCTTTTGGGAAAGGTTGACTGTACTGTAGAAGTTGACTTGTGTAGGAGGTACTTTAAATTGATGTTTTGTTTCGTTGAACTTGGTGGAATTTTATTGAATATAAAGTGTGATGATAAACTTTTATTTATGTGGTTCAGTATTAAGAAAATTAAGCTTTGACCTTGCCGCATATGGATCTTGGCTTGTTGCATTTCTACCTTTCATATAAATTGTACTTCTTTAGGTTTATATAGAGCATTTTCTTGCATCTAACTAGATGGAGAATTATTTTTTACTATCATTCTCACCTATTCTTTTTCCTTCCTTTTGTATCAACCTTCCAGGCATCACATTCAAGGGTATCCCTCTATTCGCATTTTTCGTAAAGGAAGTGATGTTAGGTAAAGGAAATGTGTTTACATAATCTTCTCTTTCCTCATGATGAGTTTTACTTTTTGCCCTTACTCTCCTGGAGTCTAATTAGTTTTGAGAATTATCATTTGCTCTGTTTGTTCACCTTTTTTCTGGCTTTGATTATCTCTTTCTAATGTTATGGTTTTGGGCCTTTTGGCTTCTCATTCCTACATCATGCCATATTATAGTATATCTTTCGTCAAAGTCCATTTCTTTTATCTAGTGATGCTTTTCTGTTGAGTTATATATGCTTCTTCATTGTCTTGTTCTCTTTCCTATCTTTTTTGTCTGACCTTTATGTCTATAGGGAGGACCGTGGACACCATGATCATGAATCTTATTATGGTGATCGTGACACAGAAAGCCTGGTTAAGGTAGAACTATGTTTAAGGCTGAATTGCATTTGAATCTAGGTTTACATTTCTATTGCTTGTCTACTACATTATGTCAAATGCCTCATGGTATGAGGATTTTGTTTCTTCCAGACAATGGAAAGCTTGGTTGCATCAATCCCAACAGAGTCTAAGAAGCTGGCTCTGGAGGATAAATCAAATGATGGAATTAAGAGACCTGCACCATCAGCGGGAGGATGTAGAATTGAGGGATATGTACGTGTGAAGAAGGTACTTATGAGCCTGGATTTGATTTTTTAACGTTGTCTGCTTGTAAGCTTTTTTTTTCCCGGATGCCCTGATGGTTAAGTATAATGGGTGAGATAAAGTAATAATAGAAACATGAGATCATATAATACCTTATACCTCTATCAACTTAACCAAGGCCAAAATTTTTGCTTAGCTGTTTTGGAATAGGACTTCTCTTTTTAACTTTTCCCCTTTTGAAGTTTTCTGCCTTTTCTCGTGCTTTGCAGGTTCCAGGCAACCTTATCATCTCAGCTCATTCTGGATCCCATTCATTTGATACTTCTCAAATGAATGTGTCACATGTCATATCCCATCTTTCATTTGGTCGGAGAATTTCACCAAGGATATTGAGTGATGTGAAGCGTTTAATACCCTACCTTGGTCGAAGCCATGACAGGTTGAATGGTCAATCATTCATTAACCACCGGGATTTAGGTGCAAATGTTACTGTAAGTTTGCAACATTGGATCATCGTTCCTGTTTATCTGTTTGGTTTGCAATTGGATTGCTGTGTGGTTGGCCACCAGCATTATTATCTGCCATTCCAAAATAATCAGCTATACTTGCACCTTTATCTACTTGAATAAGACATGCATCATGTATGGACCATAAAAAACCCTACCCATAAAAAGCCTTTGGTAACTCTAGAGGGTTTCATATCCTTAAATTTTAGTAGTTGCTATAATATTCACAGAGCTCAGAAGCGTATTGATGTAAATCTTTATTGCAAAATGCATTTGCAGATAGAGCATTACCTTCAAGTAGTTAAAACAGAGGTGGTAACAAGAAGATCTTCTCATGAACATTCATTGATTGAGGAGTATGAGTACACAGCACACAGCAGTCTAGCACAGAGTCTACACATACCTGTCGCGAAATTCCATTTTGAGCTCTCTCCAATGCAGGTTAAATTTTAATTTATTCAAAATTTATTCAGGTTTTGTTGTCCATTCCTTTTTTCATACTAACTTAATCTTCTGCACTCAGGTCTTAATAACAGAAAATCCGAAATCCTTTTCACACTTCATTACCAATATCTGTGCTATCATTGGGGGAATTTTTACGGTTTGTATCCTACATCTTTCCATTTTTGCCGAAGTAATCCGCGGATGTCGCTGATACTTATTTTTGTGCTTTGCAGGTTGCTGGGATTTTGGACTCAATTTTCCACAATACAATTAGATTGATGAAAAAGGTAGAGCTAGGCAAAAATTTTTGATAGAAAGGCGGAAATTAGTTTATCTGTGATTGTAAAGACTCTGATTTTCTCATACTACTTTACCAAAGAGAACTTTTTGAGTGACACAATTTTAGCAGTACTCTTCAAGGATGTGAACTTGGGAAATGTCGAACAATTTCAGCTTTAAATTCCTCTGCGAAATAAACTTCTCTGACCTTATTTTAGCACAAGAAAATGAATGTTAAGGTATGATATCCACACATCAGAAAATCCATTTATTTTACAAACAAGCACACACCATACACCATAGCTATCGGTTTACAGCTTATTCAGAAATTAATACCCAGCTGAACTCAATGAGCTCGAGCTAGGGAAAATCATGATGAAAATGAAAGGACCCAAAAAAGAAAAAATGACTCTCACCAAGCAAATTTCTAGACTAGAATGATAGAAGAAGAGATGAAGCGAGAAATGCTCCAATAGAACCTGCAACGCTGACGAAGGTTGAAGAAGCAGCACTTGGGGGAGGCTGCTCGGTAGGTGCTGACGTTGGGGGAGGCTGCTCGGTAGGTGCTGGCGTTGGGTTAATCTCCACCGCTCCTGAGGGAGGGGACTCCCCGGCGGGTGCTGGAGCTGGAGCTGGCACTGAAGCTGGAGGGGTCGGTGGGGAAGCAGTTGGAGGTGCAGAGCTATTGCTCCTGTCTGCCATGACAACCACTATCAACTTCTCACCCTTGAGGCAGTTGTCTTTGTTTCCACTGATGAAATAGAATGGACCAGAACGATTCAAGCCGACGACGGTGTGGCCGTCCGTGTATTTGGTCAGCGGGGTGTCAGTACCGCAGTTGTCGTAGGCGTCCTTTGTTACTTCAAGCACCGAGTCCTTATCTGGTGAGTAGACAAAAACTGTGGGGCAAAATAACCATAGAGATTAAATTAAACAAATTGGACAAAGATACATTAAAATCAAAGAAAGTCAAGAACAAAAATAAGAACTTGCAAGTTTAGGTGAAAATACACTTTAATTTAAAAAGTTGAGAATTTCAAAATTATGCTTAATTTCTATTGTATATGTCAACTTACTATTTGATATTGATAAATTTTAAAACCTAAATTCTGTTATCAAGATTAAAAATTTTTAAGTTTATTAATTTTTAGATGAATATAAAGACATTTAAGATTAGATTGTATTAAAAAAAACAAATTACCTAGCGAGTCTCCAATTTGGAAACGGTTATTTTCTGCCCATTGATTGTAACTTTGTGTGGAGGTGGCAGGAACCTCCCATCTAGAATTACCAACAGTGAACTCCCTTGCTTGAGCCTTGCTTACCAACAGAAAGAGACAAAACAGTCCTATAAGGTGAACTGCTTTGCTCTTATGGTGATTATTTGATCCAAAAATGGTGTTAGCCATTGAAACAAATGAGCCAAAGCCTGGGGTTGAATATTGAGTTGAAATCAAAATGTGGTGGTGCAAGAAATGGAGTGGCAAGGTGGAGGGTTTTTGTAGGGAAAAAGTTTACAAGCTGTGGCAGAGAAGCTTTTGCTGCTTTTGATATTCTCTTCATCTTTTGGTTTCTTGGGTTCAGGTGCAAAGCATATGTGCATTTTTATTATAAGAGGACAATAGTGTGAATCTTTTTTGTGTTTGCTTGCTTCGTAGTTTTATGCTTTGCTTGGGCATTGTCAGGAATATACATGTCTTGCGTCCTGGGTAAGACTATATGTCATGACATCTAATGAACTGCTTCTGTGTAGCTTTTTGCATATGCATATTCCAATTTTGGGGCTGTATATAATGGATATGAGACTTCCTAAGGCTTAACACATGCCCAACGATTGGAACAACACATCCTAAGGCTTAACACTTTCTCGAATACGAAAGATCAAATAGTCTATCTAATGGTCTATTATCTATGTTGTTGTCCATAACCAATCGTGTTTTTCTATGAATATTTTTTAATTAAAAATTATCATATAATTCAAATTATATAAGATTATATTACATGAATCTTTAAATAGAATCAAATTTTTTAATTTTGAAGGTTTTATTTTCATTTTTTATTTAAAAATTTATATTTTATAATTCAATACAGTTTAAATTATAAAATAATTAACTTTTTTTTAATGAGATAAAACAAAAAAATAGTGTTTATCCACCTTAATTTCTAAATATTAGGAAGAATATTATTTCAAAAAAATGTTATTTAATAAACACCTATTAAAAATGATTAAAATATCATATTTTTAAAGTATGAATTAAGATATTTTTTATTTTTTTTCCTTCTAATTTTTTAAAAATAAGATGGACAAACATGAACTCCATAAAACAATTACACTATTTCTTCAACCATTAATTTCATCTTTCCTAAAGATCTCCCTTTTTTTCTTTTTTTCTTTTTTATAAAAGAAAAATCTTTGAAACTTTTAGGATGGTTTTGGTAGAATGTAGTAGGTAAACCAGGGTCAAAAGGATATCACAACCTCAATGATCAAATTAGAAGTTAATCTTTCCCCTTTCAACCCTCCTCACCCACCTTGAACATTTGTGACGTCTCTAATTTAGATTTAAACGTTTCATAAAATAGAACATATTGCGAACTAGAAATTGAAAACAAAAGCCAAGTCCAATGAATATACGTCACACACGCTTTGTCCTCTCCATCATTCAATAAAATTTCAAACAATATGTTGAAATAATTTATTTCCTAAGAAAATTATTATAGAAAGTACTAGTCCTAGTAAAATAAAAGTATATAGAAAGAAAAAAGATAGTAGAATTTGTCACTTTTACTTCCAATTGCTAGTTCTACTGCTTAAAAATTAATGTAAGATTTCATGTACCAAATGTTTTTAATAAATGAGAGTCCTTTTTAATTTTACAATCTAATTTGAGTTAAATTATAAAAATTAATCAATAATTTTAAAAGAAGACAGTGTATTTAAGAATTTCTTTTATTAATAATTAATCTCAATTATAGAAAAATAAGTGTCAGTTTGTATCATAAAAAATTAAGTAAAAAAATATTTTAAAATTACATTGTTTTAATAAAATTTTATTAAAAAAGATTAAAATATCCTAATTATATTTAAAGTAGGGATGAGGATGTTTTATTTTTTTTTTAGTATTTTAGTAAAATAATAGTCTTAAAATATTTTTTTACCTAATTTTTAATAAGTCTAAGTAATAAATATTAATCTCTTATAATTATATAAGTCCAAATGTATAAATTATTTCTTAAAATTATCACGTTTAAAACAAATTATTATTCAAAAAAATATTAATGTAATTTATTACTCTAAATTTTTATTTTTAAGAAATGAACTTAAATTTAATGGTTACCACATTAAATTTTGTTAAACTATTGCTCTTAAGATCTAACAAAAAATTAATAGTAACTGTTAAATTTAAATTAATTGCTTAAAAATAAAAATATAGGTAATAAATTATATCCATATTTTTATGTGTAATGATTTTACTTCAACCCAATAATTTTAAAAGAAAATTGCAACAACCTATGTTAAAAATAATTGTACATTAAAAGTATTTAAATGATTTTTCAAAATAGATTGTATATTAAAAATACAGTTAATTGTACATTAAAAATAATTTCATTAAAAATATTTAAAAAATTTATAAAATAAATTATACTTTTAATATACAATATATAACACTTTTTTTATTACAAAATAATAATTTTTTTTCATTTTACATAGTATTAAAAAATGGAGTTAATGTAGGGGAGATTAAAAAGAAAAAAAAAACAAAGGATCAAGGAACGCACAGAATGGACCATGGTGTGTGAGATGGCAGAGGCCACCATGACCGCCACTACCGCCACCCAACTCCAGCTATAATTGTAACTTTAAAAATTGACATAAAACTACCAAATTAACTAATCTAATGAAACAGAAGAAACTAAGACCATCAAATTATCCTTTTTTCCCTTCAAAATTTTCCTTTTTGCCTTCGGTCTTGCCTCTGCTGGGCCCCCCTTGACCACCTTCCTGCGTTCTTTCGTGGGTTGCGTTGATCCTTTCTTGGGGGGGTCCAGCCTTTTGGGTTGTTGGTTTGGATTCCGGGTAAAAGATTAAAGTTTGGTTTTTGGTTTCTCGAAAGTTTACTGCTTTTTGGGTATTTTGGGTTTGTGAAGCTTCGTTTCATTGTATTCTTTCTGCTTTTGTTCTTGCTACCTGGTAAATGTGGGGGAGCGGCGGAGAATCTGCGGATTCCTATTATCGGGTCCGGCCAGAGTGCAGCGATGTCCCCAAGACCAAATTCAAAATCAAGGTTTGACTTCTTTGTTTCAATGTGGATCTGTTTGTGATAACGAGATGTTGATGATCGGAACTGGGTTGATTGCAGTTTGATTGAAAATGCATGAATTGATGTTATTTTGTTATGCTTGATTGTTATTTAAGATTGAATTTAGCTGATTGGGAATGTTACCTCAGTAGAGACTTGTTCAATTTGTTATAAATCTATTAGTTTGGTGCTTCTGGGAAAAAGGAAGGGTTTAGAATATTCTAGGTTCTATAGATTTGTGAAAGAAAATTGCTGTTGAAGTTTGTATGGTAATGATTTTGGGTTAAACCTTTTAGTCAGGCATGATGTAATTCACATGCGGATTACAGTTTCCTTGCAAAGTGTATTCTTTTAATATATAATGGAATTTCTGGCTTCCAGTTAAGAAAATGTGGTTTTCTTATTTATGTAAGTTAAGCCCAGTTCTATGGTAATTATTGTGAGAAATGGAAGCATCACTGACTGATTCACTTGCAGTTTAAATGGATTCTGTTCCCAAACAAATGATATGCTTCTTATTTTGATCTGCTTTTGCAGCCTGGTAAAACGCTGAGCACAAGAAGATGGCAGGCTGCATTTTCTCCAGAAGGGCATCTGGATATAGGCAAAACTTTACCTCGAATTCAACGTGGAGTAAGATCAAGCTATATTCTAATTTCTAGCATTTTAGATTCATTTGACAAAGTGCAGTCACTTTTTCTGTCTGCATTGTGTGCATTAAATGACATACAGTACATATGCATGCACCCTTTTTCTTTTTACATACTTATTTTTATATTTTCTTAATCTGTTGGCATCATTTATTTTCCAATTAGGGTATCCATCCCTCAATTAGAGGAGAAGTTTGGGAATTTCTACTCAGTTGTTATGAACCCAAGAGTACATTTGAAGAGAGGGAAAAGATAAGGCAACGTCGAAGGTAGTCAATTTCTTATACTACCTCACTTGACTTGACTTGTTACCAAATAGATAGTTAGAACATTAATTTTTCTTACTGTTGATGACTAGCATGCAGTTGACATGGGAAGAGCATCACTGTATTTAGATCCTTAGAATTAAAGGTTCTACTGTCATGCTAAGTATATTGCAGCACAATCTGAATATTTCCCATAGAAATTAGTCCATATTTGATTATTGTTGTTGTAGGATAAACACACTCTTCTTTGTACATTAGCAATTTTTTTTCTTTGAAGGACTCTTTGGACATTAGCATAAGTGCATTGGAAATTAGAATGTGACAAGAGAACAATTTTATCCAGTTTATCTCTGCCTTTGAAGATTCCACTCCTTGGATTCAAGTATTGTGAATTCTGACTTCTTGTATGATGTTGTATCTACCTGGGTGGAATGGATGATCTTAATGGTAATGCATTTAGGAAGTAGTTTGCATGGTTTGGCTTATAATGGAGGGTTCCCTGTTCAGTTAAATCTTCTTCTTTTTTTTTTTTTTTCTTCCTTTTGAGGTCATGTTTGGTTCAATGGAATGTCTATTCCATGGTTTTTGCATAAAAATAAGGTAAAATAGAAGAATAGTGCTGATAAAAAAAAAATAGAAGAATAGTGTGGTAAAGTAGGATGGCTTTCTCATGATAGTGACTACTTTCTTCTAATAAGTTGGAATAAGGTGGGAAATAGCTGTTAACCACCTTCTCCTAGGTTTTACTTAATTTCTACCTCCTTCTCACTCATTAGAAGAAAATATATGCAGGCATGGATTACCAGTTCCTACTTTGTCATACTTCTAGTTGACCTTTATTTTCTTGTAAACTCATGTGATAACCACTTCATTGTTTTGGCTGGAAAAAAAAAAGAAAAAAAAGAAGAAAAAGAATCATTGAACTATTATGACTAATAGATTAGATCTCTATTGCATTTTCTTCATTATGAGGATACCATTGGCTGAATGTTGTTTCATCTTTATCTCAGGTTGCAATATGCTAGGTGGAAGGATGAATGTCGTGAAATTTTTCCTATTGTAGGAAGTGGTAAATTTATTACAGCACCTGTTATCACTGAAAATGGCCAGCCCATTCAAGACCCTGTGGTACTTCTAGAGACAAATTCAGGCAAGTAACTAGATTTTTACTTCCCCAATATACCGTTTGTTTAGAAACTGGAAATGGAGATAAAGCAGATTTATAAATGTGAAATAAAGCAGATGTATAAATGTTATTGATTCATCAGGCACAAATGCTGCAAACATACCTAATAGTTCAGAAGTGGTGAAGAAGCTTACTAGCCGTGGTCTGTTGGACAAAAAAGTGATCCAGTGGCTGCTTCAACTACATCAAATAGGTTTGTCATATTTTTTAGCTTCAGAAGCATGTCTTTCATATTTGGATTTTGAAGTTCACTCTCATTATTCTGTTGATCCTTGTTTTCCAGGTACATCAAACTTTCATTTTGCTTTCTAGTAGTAGATATTGGCTGTTAATTATTGATTTTTCATGATTGACCTTTACATGCAAGAAAAATGATTGCAAGACTATGATCTAGCTCAGAGCTACCCTAGAATGTAATAAGTGCTTTATCATTTATTCTAGTTTTGATTTAGGTTGTTCTTGAACTGTTTTCCCATTTAAGGTTTTAAGCTCTGAAAGATGTCATTTAATTTGGGGGAGGATTGAAAAGGGAAATTACGTCACGTAAAATGCAATACTGTCTATTAAGAAATGAATTTCAATAACTCTCATTGTCACATTTTCCTTGTAACTTGCACTCTTGGTTTTTTTTATTATTTTATTTTATTTTATTTTATTTTATAATTTTGTTGCACAATTTAAGTCTCTTTATTTGCTTTCTTGAAATGCAATAGCTGTATATTCTTGTTTTGTTAAGGTTTAAGGGTTCTAATGATATCATCAAAATCATATTGGTGAAATTACATCAAGACTTTTTAAGTATGGAGTTTTGCTGTATGCTCTAGTGCAATGCATAGGCCTCAGACCTTATCTCTTCTGTGGTTAATGGCAGGCCAGAAGTAAAATGATCATTTCTAATCATCATCTTCCTCTTGAATTCTTGTGGTTCTTGTTCTTTTTTGAGGTTTCCAGTATCACTTAACATTTGTTTCTATGTGAAGTCATTATTGTATACTTACACCCATGCAAATATGTGTTCATAAACATGGAAACTATTATTTAAAGCTCCTTGAACGTAGTTCTGGCAGATACATAATAATCAATTGTTTGCATTAATGTCAGGTCTTGATGTGGTTCGCACTGATAGGACGTTGGTATTCTATGAGAAGCAAGAGAACTTGTCAAAACTTTGGGATATTCTTTCTGTTTATGCCTGGATAGATAAAGATGTTGGCTACTGTCAAGGTAAGCAACTGAACAAAACGTCATTTGGAGGTTTCTCTAAAATGATGGTAATAATTGCTTCACTGATATTGGTTCAATCAAACAAAAATCTACCCAATATTTTGCTCTCATAAACAGCACAAATTAACATTATCCATTCATGCCTTGTACTAAATCGATCTCCTTTCTTAGTATTCACATTTCTGTTGGTTAAGCCCCCTCCATCATTCCCTTTGACTTGGCATTCCGCAAATTCTTCAATAACATAACTCTCTCTCCTGTTAGTTACTTTCCCTAGACATTCTTAATGGTAGTTAGTACTAGTTCACCCTTTTGAGCAAATGAACATTAAATAATTGAGAAGAACATTGATTAATCTTATAGTTCTACAAGATGAAATGGTTAGCAGGTTCACAAATATACAAGATGAAATAGTCATGGCAGAGTAAAATGTACAAGTCACTCTTCCCCTCCATGTAATGTAAAAGAGAAGATAATAATAATTACAATGAAATTATGGTTCTTTCGTCTGACCC